CTCGAACTTCTCGACTGGATCAACGATGTTCGTTCGGAAGCCATCTCTGCCCGCGTCTCTACAAGGATGATCAAGAACAAGGCGGTAGCGAACGACCTGGAGGGCATTAGAAAGTACCGCAACAAGCAGACTCGCTGGTGCAGGAGGTTCCTTAGGAAGAACCGGTTGTCATTCCGGGCGGTTGCCAGGCAAGGCCAGAAACTCCCTTCCGGGTGGCCTGCGATTGCCATGAAAGCCGTCAAGGAATGGAGGGCACTTCGTCACGGAGGAATCGACGGTGGGGGAGGACGGAGCATGGCGGGGGCAACGAGCAGTGCGCCTTCGAAGCCACGTCTGTGTTCAAGGAGGAGCAGAGCTACAGCATGGATGAAACTGCTGTGTGGATGGAGCCCGCTGGCACGTCGACCGTGGCGGTGAGTTCAAAGTGTTGGTTCGAGTCATGTGCCTGTCTGGTTGTTTCTTGGCATTCCGTGCAAACAGTGGGCATTGTGATGCAATATTTTTTGCCGTACCTACTCAGTGTCCAGCCAGTAAGGCTAGACGACGTTGGTATTGTGCTTATGCCGGGTCAGAAGTTTCTTACCATTCGCATCCATCATCGCTGTACTGCAAAACCCATACGTTACTTTGTGCGTGAAGAGCTGTCATTCTCATCTACAAAATCGACTTTTTTCGTCGCCTCTGCTTTCTCTATTGCTTTTTGCTTTTTTTATTTTTGTCGTTCGCAGCACACCGGTCAGAAAGAAGTGGCCATCAAAACCGGTGGAAAGGAAAAGTTGCGGATCACTGCCGTGCTTGCAGCAAACATGAAGGGCGGCAAACTCCCGCCGCTGCTCATCTTCAAGGGTAAGCCTACGGCGCCGGGCAAAACCCCCGCTGCCAACAGCATCGAACGAGAGTTCAAGGTGGGCAAGGACAAGAAGGGGATAGCATACCCTCAGAGCGTTGTGTACGCCGTGGACGACAAGGCGTGGCACACGCAGCGCGTCTTCAGGGATGTTTGGCTCCCCCAAGTGTGGAACCGGCGCCCGGGTCGCGAGGGGGTCATGGGCAACTACCGTCAGCCGGACACGCTGCTATCGTGGGACGATTACACCGTGCACAAGACAGCCCTGTGCAAGGGAGCGATGGACAAGTCCAACACGACGCTGTTTTTTGTCCCCGGAGGCCTAACGCCCAAGATCCAGCCTTGCGATGGACTTATGAACAAGCTGTTCAAGTCCAACATGTCCAGGCTCTACGATGACCACATGGCCTCCACCGACGCCGTGCGCAACGACCGCGGCTACCCGGATCCCCCATCGAGGGGATTGCTCGCGCAGTGGGTGAAGAAAGCGTGGGATGAAGTGGACCCTGAGAGCATCCGTTCGAGCTGGAGGAAGGCTGGCATGACCCTTGCCTTCGACGGATCTGAGGACGAGGCGTGGGCCAACAAGGAGCTCAACTCCGACGCCCAAGGGAAACCACTTCGTGCAGACGGCGACGCGGCCGCTGCCGGCGTGGAGGAGGCTGGCCCATCGGAGGAGGGGGAGACGATGGCCGACTTGTTGGAGGTGTTGGAAATCGACGACGATGACAGCTCGGGAGATGGCGAAGGCAACGATGACTCGGAGGTTGAGGTCATGGCAGACTTGCCGGGGGCGGACGTTGTTTGCATAGACTGAGGTGTCTTGTCTGGTATCTACCTACCGTAGTTGCATGCCATGGTCAAGTCAACCAAAGCTGCTATTCGAGCCAATTTATCCTGGGTTTCATATGTTTCGGTAGTCGCTTGTCCTCTTGGTTTCTAGCTTTGGTTGATATGTAGCTGGCACTTGCTTGCGTCCTATGTGGTTCCAGCTTGAGTGGTGAACGCAAGTCTTGCAAGTGGTTGCGTCGTCCAGATACCTGTGTGCTGTCGTTTTGTCGCACACAACATTGGCACAACCGCTATGAGGTATCGGTTCTACGTCTTCGTTGTGTACCTATGCGAAGAATTTCCAAAGGATACTGCGAAAATGCACGTGGGAAAGCATGTACGTGATGGAGTGGTGTGAGCCATCCTAGCTATCACACCTGTTTTACACCCCTTGACGCCCTTTGTACGTGGGTGCCTCCTGTAAGCGCACCGCATCACTCGAGCGACATTATTGTCACACCCCCGTAGGTAGGGTCTTGTGGGCGCACTGCAACAACACGGGCGACATTATCACCCCCCCGTCAGGCCGGGTCCTGTGAGCGCGTATCATCACACGGGCGAAGTTATCACACCCCCTTGTTATCACACCCCCTGTAAGCCGGGTCCTGTGAGCGCGCTTCCATCACACGGGCGACGGTATCACACCCCCTTGTTATCACACCCCCTTGTTATCACACCCCCTTTTGGTGAGACTCTGTGAGTACACCTTATCACACGGGTGACATAAGATGTCACACCCCCTACAGAATACCACACCCGTGCGATAACTTTCGTCCTCCCGAAAATATTATCACACGGGTGTGGTATCTTATGCAACCTACGGTATCCTCGAAACCTTCTCGAGGTCAGGTCAGGAGTTCGAATCCCGGCGTAAGCGAGCTTTTCTTGAAAAAGTGAGTTTTTCTCTCGCTTCCGCTCCTGGCCTAGTGAATTGCGCTAGTTCGTGAGTACACAAAGGGAAGAGAGTGCTGAACTCTTCTCGCATTGTAAATCGAAGGCAACGCACCACAGGAGGAGAGGGTAGAGAGGGGCCCTTCTGTGTGACCACGGGTTGGAGTAAACGGCACTAGTGCTGTGAGCGCTGGTATAAAGTGAAGACAAAAAATATGAAAAAAAGTAAGTTGGAACTCTTCGCAGAAGCTCCGTTGCTTACATCGTCTGAGTTACGTATTTAATGAAGTCAGGGAGCAAATATACCCGACATAAGTCAATGGTCATCGTCCACTTCCCAAGTTGCCTTGCCAACAAGGAATTGAGCTTGAGTTCAGGTCGGGCCTACGCTCGGGCGATGATCACAACCACACAAGAGAGCTTCAAGTGCCACACCCAAAACGATTTTCCTTGCGCACACAAGCATGGCAGCCACCCATTAGATGTATGAAAGGGGTCTGTTGCGACGGAACTGGAACACCCTCCGGCGGTGGACGAGGTTCTTCGACATTCTACAGAATTCACCATCCATCGTCGAGAGACACCATGACCACCGTCACCCAAACCGATGTGATACGACGGAGATTCGACATAACTCGTGGCAGAATCAACGCCGGTGGAGGCGCGATCGGCAGTTCGGGCCGCCCTCCAAAAGTACCCAAGCTGTACAACACTATTAGCGAGCCCTTGGTTGTTCTACACTTCCATGCTGTGGTGGGCCACAAGGCCAAATGGCAGAAAATTGCGCCGGAATGGCAACAGACAACGATCAAGATGTCCCACGAAACTGAGGCTAACCCGACTGCACCAACTTCGAGTGATGTCCTTCGTTTCCCACCAAATCAAATCTCTGCCCAAGATCATTGCCAATCACGTGAGCGAACAGTGCGGAGCGCACCAGATGCCTTCTCACTCTGTGAGATCCAACATTGGCACGTTGTACATGGTTGACCTACACAAGAAGTTGCGCTGCTATACAGAGTGGCTTCGTAGATCCTCCAGAAGGCCTGTCACTCGGTCGACCTGTGCTGGAAGGCGACGGGTTCATCGTCTACCGTGGTCTCGCGCTGAACCTCTCAAGAAAGCCTGAAGACAAAGTGTACACGTATTCATTCTCCAAGTGGCTTCTAGGTGTGGGGGGCAACGGCTAGACAACTCCCGAAGCGAATAGTGTTCGAGAAGAACTCGGAGGGGAGGCCCGATCCGGACCCCGACCGTGCAGCAAAGCACGGTGTTTGCATGCTGGAGACATTTTTTGGCATTCAGAATTCTACACAGTTCTACGCCGACCAGCGGGAATTCAGAGTTGATGGACTCGTCGGGACAGCTGCGACGAGCACGGCTGACGGAATGTGATTTGCATAGTTGTTCCATCGGAAACAGAGAGGTATTTCGCGTCGTGGCATGTCTTTGTCTCACCGTCACGCGGTTCGCACGACGTTCACCGAAAAACGTTGGGCCACTTGACATTCTGTAGAACTCTATGTATTTCATACTATATGGAAGAAGACAGTTGTCGTCCAGCTGCTTTTCCCCGGAGGCCACACAACCTTTTTTTGGGCAGCAAATCCCGATCTCCAATCCATCCTAATCGTAGTGGGGCTTCTTTCTTGAGCAATGCTGAGGATACATGTGATCAGAACGGCACAGTTGATCGTGAGCCATGAAAGTAGACAAAGATAACCAACCGGTGTTTCACGCACGAAATGTCCCCTCGACCGTGGCGCCCCTTTCAAAGTAGCGTTGCAAGAGTTGGACACATCATCCAACTTATTCCACAACTGTCGTCAGCCTAGTTCCACGAATTCAGCAAAAGCATTGCAGCACGTGCTTGCACCACGATCATGAATGCCTCTTGTTTCCGGCAACGGTTGGAGTACTTGTTATGAATCAGCGTTTTTCAGTTTTTTGGGCCACTGCCCGTTTCAGAGAAGGATGTGAGTAGAGTTTGTTAAAAAATCTGTGGCGAAACGCAACGAATCCCGCTGCAACGAATGCGGTGGTGAGCATGGCATTGCACCCACCGCATCTCAGACTTGCATTTTCGAGCCCTTCGCCTTGTATTTTATCAGAGCTGGGTTTTGCTGTTGACGTCCATTGCGATACCACCGGTAGGTGAGGAACCGCGAAAGTTGTCCTCCCTCTGAAAGCTGAAATTCCCAGCGTGAACTGGGTGCGTAACCTATTTTGCTCCGGCGGTGGCATCTCGATAAATCCAACAATACAGGCGACATGGACCGTCCGACCGGAAACAAGACACTGCCAAAAGCTAAGATCTTCAATATTGTTCCGGCAATGCTTTCCCTTGTTCTAGTTGTGAGAGCTCCCAGTATTTCTCGAGAATCCTGATTGAGATTGTGCATCACCGATCTTGCGCTGGTGCTTGACAAAGGTCTGTCGAAGGCAAAGCTGCTGCACTCGACCTCGAGAACCTGAACTTGCTACTTCGCAACATGCCCCCGAATGTGGACGCCCAGCAGGTGAGTTGTCGATGACAAGGCTGCAGGGCGAAGGGAACGTTTCACGCTTTTTTTATTCAAGTGTTCACACAAGCTAGCGATCCAAACACCTTGCTGTCCTGTCAGCGGGGATTGACATAAGTATTCCCTGGGAACCAGATGACGAGCCCCCAACATCGTTTGTGAAGGCGTGCGTTCGATTCGAGAGTTCGTGCTTCGTTGCAAGAGGAGACCAGAACACTTTTTTTTCACAAATTGAGTAATACTGTTTCATGCAACGGGTCACCCGTTGCTTTCAGTTAAGTTGGCCATAGACATGCACACGTTTGCAACATGTGTATGGATGGGTTCTCGAAAATTGCCTTATACTTCGTCGTCTGGAGCACTTCGTAACTACGACTGTAACCGCAGCTTTATGCATTTGTCTGAACGTGTCTTGCCTCCTCTGTGAAGATCCTTGATATCGCGGCCAGTATTCCATTGAAGCATCGGCACATCGGGAAGCGCGTTGCTCTCTTCGGTGACTTCAATGCGAACAAAAAATAGGCCTGCTCGAGGAACGGACGGAGCGTAGCAAAGTAGCGCAGCTTGCGTGCTGGTGGGGAAGCACGCGCAGTCTCGCGCACGAGAGATGTGTTTCCTTGGATTTGCGTGCGCGATGATGGTTGGTATGGTTGACCGGGGTTTACCTCGGTCGCAGCTTGAGGCAACGACAGCAATGTATAACACACGAGCCAACGTATGTCGTCTGTGGATCTAGCATATATGTTGTGTAAGCTGCTCGAACCGATATTTGAAAAGATCGTAAGAATACTTCAGCAATTCAAACGTTCACGGGGCGTTTATTTCATTGCGGAGATACAACAGGAAGCGGTTCCACTTCTTGGTGTTTCGAGGCAAAAAACACGTTTGTGCGGTTTCATAAATTGAGAAGTGTGAGCGAGGCAGTCGTCGGTGCCACTCCATCACAAACTCGGCAGTCACTCCAGTGGTTCTGTTTGACGGAGCCATGGCTTTGCGCAAGGTGACGAGCAAAATATATTGTCTCCAGAATGCGGGTGTGTGGCCAGCGGTTTCGATGTCGATTCTGACGGACGGAGTGTAATTTGCTCCTCAAACAAGGCGGCCGCTTATCGTTCTGAAGCCCTCCGTGTTGCCTGAATTCTGAAAAATGTATTGGATTTTGACCCCCAGGTTCTTGACCCCGGTTAGGCTGCATTCGCTTCAAGTCACTTGGTTTTTGGGTTGACTATCTCCGGGGTCTTGTCTAGAACTGAGCGAGGTGGTTTTCTATGGTCGATGTTTTTTAGGTGGCAAATATAGATTTTCGAGTAAGGTGGAAAAGGTTTTCCTGCTGCCTCCGTCCGCCCCTCCTGCAAGTTTGGTACAGAAGCTTCTGGCAGTTTTTGAGAAAGCGCGTTTCTTCATGACGTATGTATTGGTAGCTCTCCTCGATGCCACACTGAGCCGAAACACGAACGAAAAAAATCGATTTGACCGGACATTACCCCCACGGGTCACGAACTGCATGCTTACTTGCCGCACACACACTCCACGACGGTCTTTCAGCCGAGTGTGCCTCAAGGACGCGGAAGCTATACAGCTCCCGAGAACCAATGTGATAAGGGCCGGCAGTGTATCTGGTCAGATACGGGCTTTGATGTACACTAGTTGCCTCGGTTGCGACAGGGTGAGCATAGAAAGAACCGCACGCCCAGGTCATCAGCAGGAGGATTGAGAGACGCGAAACACTCCACGATAGTTTTGCATTCCAAATGCGTCAAGGGATTCGCAAACTCTACTCCATCAGCTCCAGAGAACAAGTGTGCCAAGTTCCGGCAGTTCATCTGGTGAGGGATGGGCTGGGGTATCAACTTGCATGCTTCTGCTACTGCTTTTGTTGCCTCGACAAAAAAATCACTAAAATATAGAGCAAAGCGGCGACAACAGCAGGATGCGAGTTGTCATTTTCTGAAGCCTTTTTGCTTCAGTTTTCTGTTGCGGAAATTCTCAAGACCAATATTCGATTTTTGACCCCACAAAAAAGTGACCCCACTCCCTTTATTCACTTGGTTTTAGAGTAGGCGTTCTCCGGTTTCTTCTCTGAACACGGTCAGGGCAAGAAAAAAACGGTAATATAAGTATAGTTTAGATGGACAACGCCTATTTCAGTTTGATGTAGAGGGAACAGGCGAGGGCAAGATTTTTTTTTGTTTTTTTCGCAAGAAGAGTGGCCCGTGTAGGGGTGCTCTTTTTTGTTTTGCACAAGAAAGCTGATTTCAAGGGACCTTGTGCATGATGTGTATGCGCGGAAAAAAGAACAATTTGGTGCCGAGGGAGGGGGCAAAGGAGATCATACGTGTCTGTCCGTGACCAGGTTGCGATAGTACGCAGCAGACTGGAGCCCATTTCACCATCTAGGCACCAAATTGCAATCAATCTAAGACTTGCGCACAACACGTAAAATTAATATTTTGCCCGGGCTGTCCCAAGTGCTATACAGTGGCGGTAAAATAGTGCCGGTGCCCGGTATAGAAACGGTAAAATCTCTGGACACAGACAGCGCCCTCATTAGTGCGGGTCCGGCACTATTGAGGGCAGCCCCGATATAGTGCCGGTTGGGCACCACAGCACCCCGCAATAGTGCCGGTTACTCACACGCAACACAGCCGGAGGACAGATAGATGCCACATACAAAACAGGGTTCACGTGCTACTGCAGAGGTGCACCATGCCTTGTGCGTTTTTTTTTCTTGCGGTGCGCTTTCCTGCTTTTCTTTTAATTTATTGTTTTTTTGTCGCATCATCGAAGGGGGTGCGCCAGGAAGACATGAGAGAGTCTGTCGCGACATAGTGAGGGCGGGGATACAACTGTACCTATGGTAATGGTTGTTTGTTTTCTTGCAGGGCTCTGTCGTGTTTTCTTTTTTCTATTTCATTTTTTTTCCTTTTTCTTGGAACAAATTCTCTGTGTTCGGCAGGGTGAAACCACACACACGTGTCGCGGGAAAGTCTGCCCACGCCCACGCTAGAACGTCACTTATTTCAATTTCGATCCATTTCGTACTCTGTTGGCCCCGCAACGCGCTAGTGCCACACCGTAAAATCAAATAGTGCCTCAATAGTGCCAAAGGCACTATTCTGAATAGTGCCGGTGCCCGGTATAGTGTCGGGAAAATGTTTGGACACACCCCCGCACTAAAGAGGGCCCCCCACTGCCTTCCTTTTCATTCCGTGGTCGGTGCGTCGAGATAGCACATCATCTATCTGTGCACAGAATATATATGTGTCGCATTTAGGTGTCCCCGACTTGGAGGAGGAGCAAGGGTGCACAAAGAATGTCATCCCGCACACCTTCCGGGAGGGCCGAAAAAAGGTTTCGGCTTTTTGCTTCTCATGGGGCTTAGGTGCGACATGACGTGTACAACAAGTGGGTCTTGTACATTATTATCGGCATTTTCACCATGGAGTCTCCATGGTTACCCATAACCATGGAGACTCTATGGTGATCACCATGGGTAACCATGGAGACTCCATGGCAATCACCATGTGGGTAGCCATGGTCAACCATGGTGATCACCATGGAGTCTCCATGGTCACCCATGGGTAACCATGGAGACTCCATGGTTAACCATTGTTAACCATGGGTAGTCCGTGGCGATCACCATGGGCTCTCCATGGTTATCATGACCATGGGTAACCATGGTGATCGCCATGGAGTCTCCATGGTTAACCATGGTGATGACCATGGAGTCTCCATGGAGACTCCGTGGTTATCCATGGTCATGTTCACCATGGAGACTCCATGGGGTCACCATGGTCATTAACCATGGTCAACCACAAGTCAAACCATTGATTGTAACATCACGTTCGTTCATCATGATGCTCATTCATCATGCATCATGTCATACTCTGTATCTTGTTTTTTGCAGAGAGCGGTCCGGCAAGGAGGGGGGGGGTTGCTCTTTGGTAGAACAAATAGCTGTTTTGAGGGATCGTGTTATGCATACGTGATCGGTGCGTCGAGATAGCACATCCCCTGCAAATGTTATCTCCCCCCCCTGTGTTATCTGTCTGCTGCTGTAGTCGGAAGCGAGCTTCCCCGTCCAAAATAGCAGGAGGCGTGATTGTTTTGTTTTTCCGCTGCTGCTGTGCTCAGCAGCTGCTGCTCCTGTGTGGCAAGACACAGACACACACACAGATGAGACACGGAACATGGGTGGGCAAGGGGAGCCGGACACACACACAACACCGGGAGAGCGAGAGCGAGGCCGGAGGGTGTGCCCTATATTGCTGTTGGGTCTCGGTGGAGGAAGCTCGAGGAGAAGCGTCTGGTGTTGGTATGTGCGTGTTGACGAGACCAGCGATTGTTCGTTGTCATGAGCGATCGAAAGAGAGCACAGAGAGAGGCACACCAACACGCTGGTAGACACCACCATTGATGATGCATGTACTGCTGTAAACCTCTCTATTCTAGTGTGCGAGGGCCTAGGGTGCCACCTGTGCCTTCCGTGCTAGTCTGGTCACCTATCACACGTTTTTGATTGCGGGATGAAAGCTCCCATGTAGAAACTTACAGGAACAGAGTTTTTTTGTTGGTTCGCTGCAAGCTGATGGTGAATAACACCCCCCTGTCTCCAGGTCATCATGATGATGAACACCACCCCCCTGCCCATGCACGCATTAGCCTAGTGCAGCATTAGCCTAGTGCAGGTACTGTTCTTTTCAACCCAAAACAACAATCACACTACCCCGGGTCAGTCTAATAGTTGATTGTACAGACATTCATCCCTGCTGCTGTACATACGCTCGAAAAAAAGAAAAAAAGGATGCGAATATGCACCGGTATACCCCTTTGGGTGTGCTCCTAGTTAGTGAAGCACACTACATCATTCAGTGGTACCTGCCAATTTATGGCTAAACTATCTAAGATGGTTGAACCACTGTCTGTAGTGGCGCTTGACCTTGCAGACGTACATATGGCCGTGGCGCACAAACTACTTGTTTTTACGACTGACTCTGTGTCTTGGGTATCGGAAAAGGTGATTTTTGCAGGGCGGCCATGTGTACTCATCGTGGTACTGTAGTGCAGACAAAAACATGCATCACAAATTTCAACAGCTGCCACATTGTTGCTCATCTACAGGGAATTTTCTGAACGCTATAACGCGTCTATAGTATTGTTGCGTTGATGGTGGAACAATATCAACGTTACGATGGTGGAAGTAAACGGCGTGAAAGTTTTCTCCACCGTGTAAAAAACAGACCTTGGCAGCAGCCACGCGGCATGCAATTGTGATGCACAACAATTAATTTACGGCAATTCTATTTTCTTCACCGTCGCTAACCTCTTATGTCATCCACCAGGTAGATCTCCACCCACATAGCTGACATCGACCTCAGGCCAAGTGTAGGTATGGACTACAGCTGTCTGAAATGCTACGTTTAGATGCAAAATCCGACCAGTGGCTGCAGAGAAACGCTGAAAATGGGGGTTCCGCAGCATGTCAGGGAGCAGTAATCGTATCGAATCTCTGTCCACACAGTTGGCCTCTCACCTTTTGCATCGTGTCCGCACGGGCCGTGCCGTTCTTCCAAGCTATAGGGAAGTCACATCCGATGTATTCCCACAGATATATTCCCGCAGAGCCAATAGGTCAACAGAGGGGTTTCAGCACGTTCTAGCGGGGAGGGGGGGTAAATGTCTATGGTTCCCCTACACCTCCCGCCACATAGGTGAACCTCTCCAAACTCTGGCCGCACCATG